ACCGAACGATTGGGGCCATCAGGGCTTTCCACGAACAACCCACGGAGGTCAAGGCGGGGTTCTACGGCCGTCCGGAACTCGGCAGTGGCGTATCATTATTTTCGAACATTGACTTGTTTCTCTCAAAAGCCGCCAGCTGGAGGTTCGATTCCATGTGCCTTACCATCATTTTTTTTACATGCAAAGTAAAGGAAAATGATTAATAGGCACACAAACTTTAAGTGCTATATATGACTTGTAAGTGTCATTTTATAGTTGATTCTTTTTATTCGAAGACAGAGACACGCTCCAGGTGAAGTTAGGTCCGAAGATGGCGAAGCTTGAAGAAATACCGGAGGTATGTAGAAACGAGGTTGCGGAGTGGAACAGAGAGACGAAGCAGCTGGCGGAGCAGTTGATGGGTCTGTTGAGTGAAGGTCTTGGACTGGAAACAGGTAGGCTGAAGAAGACAACGTGCTTGGAGTCGAGGACTATGGTGGGTCACTACTATCCCAGTTGCCCGCAGCCTGATCTGACGGTGGGGCTTACGTCTCACAGCGACCCCGGGGCTCTGACTGTGTTGTTGCAGGATCAGATAGGTGGGTTGCAAATTAAGCACGGAGATGACTGGCTGGATGTTAAGGCTGTGCATGGAGCTCTTATCATAAATATTGCTGATGTGCTTCAGGTATTAGCTTCTTGGATTAATTCATATTCTTTGAAATTGATAGGTAATTTCCCATTTTAGAATTTCAAAGACGTGGAAAAAAATATGTGGATAATATTTTTATACAATTTTTAAGCATAATTTATATATATATATATATATTTAAATAACTAAATGCAAATAATATTATAAGTATTAATAGAGTAAAAAAAAATTAATCATTAAATAAATATAAAGATATATAAATTATTTTCCTTTAAAACGCGTTGAATTTCTAATTCATTTAAAACTAATATTTGATGCCTTCGAACTTATATTTTTCAAAATGATTCAAATCCCAGCTAATCACTAAATTAGAGGCAACCCAGTGAATTATTTAGAAATATATATATATATATATACACACACATATATGCTTTTTCTTCCCTCATGGCATGTGGTATATCTGTCTGCCTTGTTCCATTGCTTAAAAGAGCTCAACATTGAAATGACAGAGCCAACTCAATCTACGAAAAGCTGATAGGTTGAAAGTGGCTAAGCTAATATCGACAGAAGACGTATTGGTTAATTAAAGAATAATGAGAGTTACGACTAAAGATTAAATTTTAAGAAAAACTTATAGTAGTTATTGATTATATTGAAAGCCCCAACCATATATAGACTCATATAATCAATGTTAAAATAATTTTGTTTCAAAATTTCATACAAAATTTTGTTCCCAACAATCATTATAGTATTAATTAAATTACCCAAAGTGATCTTTTATTTATGCATGTAGAATGAAAGCAACATGGATTCAAACATTGTGCTGTTTCTTTTGTTTTCTCTTTTTGGTGTGTGTGGTTCAGATAATGTCCAATGATGAGTACAAAAGTGTGGAGCACAGAGTTCTGGCGAATGCTTTCCCTGAACCGCGAGTGTCAGTAGCTGTCTTCTTCAATGCAAGTCCGGGTGCGAGGGAAGAGTTGTATGGACCATTTCCAGAGTTGGTTTCACAGGAGAAACCTGCTGTTTACCGGCAGTTTACTTACAGTGACTACATCAGAAGGTACTTCACCAAGGAATTGGATGGAAAATCTTTAACAAATTACTACAAGCTGTAAGAGAGGAATGTGCAGCAACTGAGTATGGTGTGCAAGTGGTGTTAGTCCTGTAAGGACGTTGTTCTGCTTCTTTATGTTCTATATTTCAAGTCTGTGACTCCAATGTTTGCGTGATACATACCTGACAGTAAATAAATTTTAGAATTTTAAAATTACTAAATAAATTGTTTTAATATTTCTTCTTAAATAATCTCGATTGTTAGAAGTTTGAGTACTTTATTCTAATATTTGTACTTCTATATATCTATGGTCTAAACCAGTCAACCATTTATGTGGCCTTCCGCATACTTAAATGATTTTGAACCGATTGATGCATTTTTCTTAAGGATGCTATCAAAAAAATAAAAAGTTGAGAAAGTCTAAACCCATAGTAGCCTAGTGACTACCCACTTGAATGCGTAGATTAGAACAGTATGTTTTGGATTCTAAATGTAGGATTTACTTCCCCTCCCCAATTCATTTTTCCAATGTTCAAAAAATAAAAATAAAAATAAAAAGTTGAGAATAGGAGATAAGTTTTGGGTATTTGATATTGCATTTAAGTGATGGTGGTAGAATCGTCCCCAAAAACCATTCAAAACTCAACCCCTTCTCTTTCTAGTCTTTTTAGGAATTCTACCGTGATCGTTGATGTGGTCAATTATACATATATTATATGCATCAATAACCCTCAATGGTATTGGAAAAGGATTCCTATGTCACGTATAGAAGTAGAATCCTACTTCTTTTAATTACAAAATTCTTTGTTTCAAGCAAACTCCGCGAAGACCCGCCCTTCAAGCAAAGATTGTCCACCGGCTACACATTCTGGGCCCCCATTTAGAACAACCGGGCTTTGATCAACCATTGATTACTGGGCCTCCATTTAGGGTAACCGGGCTTAGATCAACCATGATTTTGTTTTGAACAATGCAACTTTTAGGCTTTTTTTTCTTTATTTTTTATTTTTTTAGGAATGGAAAATAGAAGTACTAAATTTGAGATAATATCTTTTCCATGAAAATCAGAGGTGAAGTTGGTGACAGAGGAAGCTTGGAGAGAAATCAAGAGGCTCGGAGCTGCTCAAAAGGGGTTCAAGTAGCCCTGAATTAGTCAATTCTTTCTATTTTGCTCTCCTCTGCTAATAATCACAGAGAACCTTCACGATGGGTTCTTAGCATCGGATGACCACGGGTATATGTGTCTTCTTCAACACCCAAGCCATCCCTGAGAGCAATTGCTCTCCTCTCCTCTGTTGCTTCACCTCTCTTGGACGATTTCGTGGTCTCGTGGGTCAACTCCAGCCAAAATTGAAGCATTTCAAACAGGGATCAAATCAAACTGTTCCGAGACGATCTGAGGTAGGATTTAAGTTGAGATTTTGTTTTAGGTAAAAAAAATTTTGGGTTTGATCAGGCTTATGTTTAAGAGACTAGAAATGTTTCAAGGCTATATTTTTATCTTCATTATTATGCAAATTTTGGAAGGTCTGTAACTCAGCCCCTTTACATGGACTGGACGGAATTCAGTGTTTGCCTTGCTTTGTTAGTCTTTAGTGGGATCATGAGTGAGCAGAGCATTCCGCGCCTGCCATACTCGCGAGTTTGTTTATAGTCGCCAAGACCTCGCCCCTTTATAGTCTAATGTTGCACTGAAATGGCATGGATAACGAACATAATTTCTAATGGTATACGTTGTTTGAATTTTGTTACTGGGTTTCTTTTTAATAATTTTCTACTGTACTTGCAGGCAATTGCATTGAGTATCTTAGAAAATGGATGGAGCTCGCATCCATAGTCAGCTATAAGAAGGATTAATCTGGGAAGCATACAACAGGAGATTAATGATGAGAGAAAATACATGCACTGAAGAGAAAGCAATGGATCTCTTGAACCAGTTAGAATTTATTCTGGAATCTGATCCTCTCATGTAAGTATTTTACTCACAATATTCATGTATATATATATGTATAGGTTTATGGGGTTAGTGTTTATCTGCCTTACCTCTTGGAAATTAGGAGGAAAATTACTCCAAAACTAGTTTTGATAAAGTGTCATGAGCAAAGACTAGAAACAATCTAATTCATGCTACTGAAATAGGGTATTATAGTCTTTTTCAATGGAATTTATTGACGACATAGTTTTGGGATTATTTTCCTCTTAATCTTTAGGACGTAAGGCAGATGGCACTCTTCCCATAGGTTTTTTTTTGTTAAAAGAAACTATCATGCTATTTGAGAAATTAAATCAATTAATAAAGGCATATGAGTCACTAATTTCTGATTATCTTTTTTATTTTGTTTTGTTTTATTTATTTACTTATTTATACTCCATTATCTTAAGTTTGTATCTTTTTTTTATTTTAATCTAGTGATGAAGTAGGTTTTATTCACCCATCCCAGTTTGTCACACTCAGTGAAGAGGTAGACGGTTCCTATACCTTGTCAGAACATGGAAATTCAAACCATGAGATGTTTGATGTTAATGCTTTGGAGCAAAAAAATACAAAATTTTGGAACAGAGATCATAAGTTGGGCATTTCTACTCAAGTCCTTCTTCCACTTTTTGGGGCTGCCAAAGACTCATTTGGGGCTGCAATTAGACAGTATAAGACATTTACCAGCTTATCTGGTAAGCCTGAAGGTCAGGATATTTCGTGTTGTTCTTCGCCTTGTGTCTCCCTTGAAAGTGAAGTTATGAAGCATAGCAGGTCTCTTCTGTTGTTGAGTTGTGATTTTGGGACTGCATGGAATTCCAGGTTCTCATCTGTCAATATTTTACTGATTTCTGTACTTCTTACGTTGTTTGTCCCCTTAAAATAATAACATTGAATTTTGGAAGATGATTGGAAGTTGTTTTCAATTGCTTTTATGCCATTTTTACTACAGAAAAATAGCCTTTTTTACGTCACTTTACTCTTACTTTGTAGTGGTTTCATTGTGAAAAATTGTCAATATTCCTGGCCACTAGCAATGTCTTGTAGAGTTAGGTATGTGATTTAACAATTCATGAGAGAATAACTAGTTCTCCCTTTTCTAAACTTGCAAGTCGGAATGAGTCAATGGAACTGTGGAAAACCCCAATTATCAACAGTATTTTATATTTTATCTTACATTCTTCTTGATGCAGGTGCATTGGAGTTTTAGAGTATTTGTTTTGCAGTAGTTAGTCTTTCATTTGAAGTTTAGCTTTTAATTTTAAGGGGTCATGTGGTTAGTCATGTGGTTAGTATGGGAATTTTATTAGAATTGGAACTAGCAGGTTTGAATTAGGAATCTTGGCTACTGTTATTGTGTGTGTTTGTGTTTATATATATATATATATATATGTATCTATGTATTTCTTTTTAGATCCCTATGTATCTATGTGTTTGTGTTTATTTCTCTCTTTTTTTTTTTTGTCTTATTTTCAGAATAAACTTCTTGTTGAAAGCCTAAGTTTTCTTGGTCCCGTCTTTGATTTTACGTGGTTCTTATTGTCTGTTTGTTCAACCCCTGTCTTCTCTGCATCATTTCAGATGAATTTTATATTTTTTCTTCTTGGCTTTATGTTATACTATAAGATTCAGCCCTCTGAAGGTGAGATAAATTGAGTCTTATTTCCTTGCAAGTTGGCACGTCTTGTGAGGGTCTTTCTACTCCCTGTAACGTATAAATTATGAGTTTTTTTTTTTTTTCTCTATATGTTGCTTCATTTATAATGATACCTACCTTCTTTGTATATATTGCATAGAAAGCTGATTGTATCAAGGAAGCAGCAGCTCTCACTGTTTATTAATGAACTTCTACTGTCAGAACTTGTTCTTTCATATTCACCCAAAAGTGAACAAGCTTGGACTCACAGGTAATTATTTTGCAACAATCTTCCTTTTAGGAGATGCATATTTATTTCTTATGTCTTCTGCATTGCACTTTTGACAGGAAATATAACTCTAATTATTTTGTTTTGGTCAATAATCTGTCTTGTTTTCAGTTGTCTGTACAGTACATGATATGCGCAGTTCTTATTTATAATCGTTATATAAATGTACTTTTACAACTTTGTCAAAGTTTCTGGCCTACATTTTAGTCATGTATTGATTATTGACAGGCGGTGGGTGATCAAGATGATTGCTGGAAAATGTTCGACTTTGGAAGACATTATAGCAAAAGAATCTGAGCTAGTGGAAAAAATAGCTGAGGTTTATTTTCAGTTGAGGCACTGAATACTATTGTCTAAAGTTTAATTAGATTGGTAACAATAATATTTCATCTTGCATTCTTTGCCATGGTAACTTGTGTTAATTACAATTAAACGCTATACTAAAAACCTAGAGAAGTAGCATAATGAACTCCAAGGACTTGTCAGTAAAGAAAGGATGCATTTAATGTTTATGACATGATTGAAGATCAACATGTATTTTACCCTTTGAGATATCTAAGAAATGTGGTAGGGAATCCATCAGTGGATGAAATTGTTAAACTTTGAGGTAGGAGTTTATTGATGAAAGGATTCCTGAGGCCAATTACATGTCATTTTAGTTGAGTCCAACCAGGATGTCATTCAGCTGTTTGGTTTCTATTGCAGAGACTAGATTTTTGAAGCAGTCATTGATGTTTTCAATAATCTTGTTCTATTTTGTTTTCTGTTTGATAGACTCTTACTGAGCCATGTCTCAATATATTCACTCTTCTACATCATCATATGATACACTATTATCTTAATCTATTTTCTTATCTATTCCTTCTCAGAGATCAAAAATGAACTATCGTGCTTGGAATCATCGCTGCTGGCTGGTTTCCTACATGACAAGAGCACAGGTTAGGAGTATGAGATTAACATGATAGTGCTTTTGATGTCTTAACTCTTAACATGTAGTTGATCAATGTCTTAAGAGTTAAGAATCAGATAGAAGTGATTCAACTTTGTAAGTTCAGGATCACATTAAACAAAAGTAAATGACATTTGCAGATTAAATTTCAGCTTCAGGGAAGTTTGAGGGCACTGCTGCACTATTGCTTTTGTTTTTTCTTTCTTTGGGGGATGTACCAGTTTCAGAGAATGTCATTCTCATGCTTCTTATATGTCCTTCTATTAATTTAAATGTATTCTTTCAGATGCTTCATGAGTTGAAGAAATCCAGAGTCTGGGCTGGGTTGCATGTAGCTGATAATTCTTGCTTTCACTACCGTAGAGTGAGTGTTCACTTTCCTTCCCAACAGAGGATAAAACTGTTTGTTCTTAAGAGTGTGGGGTATCAAAATGAAAATTGGAATTCATCATTTACCAATGATTCAATTTATTAGAATTTACTTACAAATGACTTCCAGTGTTTTAAATTTTTTATCATATTTGGAATCAAGTGAAAATAAATTCACTTAGAATTCATTATGAATTCTTATGTTTGTAAAAACACTAGAAAATATTTTATTATGGAATGCATTTATATCAATCACACTAGAAAATATTTTTTCTTTATTAGCAATAAGCTGTCATAATTTTAATTTAATCAGAAAATGCTAATATTTGTCATGTCAGTTGATCTGAGTCTTGTTTTTTTTCAGAGGCTGATGGTTGGGATTCTAGAGAACTGCTATAAACAAGAAAAGGAAAATTCTTGCAACATTGACAATTATCAAATTTTGGAGGTAAGCTGCTGCAATTCATTCAATAATAAAGGCTACCATTGGTTTCAAATGCGTAAATGGAGAAAGACAACTTTTGGTCTTAATTATTTGCAAGCAAAAGTTTACTCCATGTGATGGCCGTGGATATCTTGGATGTCTTTGAGGATTCTTGTATTCTAAACACATTTATCACTAGTACAAATTTGTGTTGCACAGGAGGAGCTAGATTGGAATGAACTGTTGATAAAGCGCTACATAGGGAGAGAGGCAAGTACACTTTTTTCCCTATTTTCCTATTGCCTGTATAAGGGGCAGAGAGGTTTTACTTGTTTTTGATTGATTACTTCTTTCATATTTTGTTTGGTCATCACACTTTTGTAATTATTTAAAATTTTAGAGCAATAGTAGGCTATTTGCTATAATTTGTAGATAAATCCAGCATAGTTTCCAATTTTTGGACACTCTAGTACAAACCTTCTGACAATTTGAGATAAGAAACTGGAAACCAGAAAAATAAAGTTTCTGATGTTTGGTGTGTTAAAAATGTTTAGATCCTATGTGTCTACCTCAAGGAAATTGCTGACTTGACTGCTATTGAGGATTTATATCTTGTTCTTTTGCACGTAGCATTGGCAGTTAATTGTGACGGGAAATAGACAATATACAAAATATGTAATAATAGACATATTGCTCGATATTTATGATAATACAAATTGCAGATTATCCGTTTAATTTTATTTCTTAATGAAAAGAAATACAAACTATTTGTGCATAGAAGACCCTTGTTTTAAACTAGTTGTGTCCTCTCAGTGTTGTTCCTTTTCTTACCAACTAGTTGTGTACTCTTAGTCTTAGTGCATTTCTTCCGAACTAGTATCTCTTAATCTTTCACTTCTATTTTCTATTCTGCATAGGCTTTATGGCTACATCGCCGTTTCCTTTCCTTGCATTGGATAAGGCATTTGACAAGTAATTTATGTGGTGCTCCTTGTCACTCCGAGCAGAAGCTCTGCTCAAGTAATGAAATTGGCCTCTTTATTGATAAGGAGTTATGTCTTCTAAAATCTTGCTCAACCATTCATGACTCTGAGTTTGAGGATTTCCAAGCACAGGCCACATATTCAGCATTTTATCTCCTATGGTTGACAAAGGTAATTGTATTTTATCTGATGATAATAACTTTTTGAAAAAAAAAATTCCTGAGGTTATCAATGCTCATATGATTGCTATGTTGCATCAGCAAATTCCTCAGTCTCTGGGGATTGAACTCCAAGCAAAGCTAAAAGCAGCAGTGAACCTGAAGGCTCTGATCAAGAAGACGTGTCCGGATAAATCCTCCCTTTGGGATTGTTTGTTTGAAGAGTCTGACGAACATGTGTGAGAGAATTAAGTGGCTTCTCTTTCGGCCAAAACTAGGTTAGTTTGATGAATAAAAACAATCATAAGATCTCTGCTTTTGGGACAAAGCTTTGCACAGTAAACGCCCTACTCATGTTGTTAGAATTGATTAAAGAAACGAGTGAAACTTGGAAGAGTTTCTTGTCTTGCACTGCATCGGATTACAAAATAGAATTCATTGGAGGGGTGTATCATCTTATGTATCAAAAAGAAGGGCTATGCAAACTTGGAGATATCAAGTTAAAACTTTTTAAGGTTAGTGGAAAGGGATAAGCCAAGGAAGAGGTTATTCTTTTTGTATAAAAAGGAAGTGCCGTTTGGTCTCATTTTTGTTATTTTTATTCTGTTTCCCTTTTGTCCTTCTATTGATATAAGATGGCAAACTTTTCCATAAAAAAATTTATTATTATTTTTTTCATTTTTTAATACCAGGTAATAGAATTTTAGAAATTAAGGATGCAGTTTGCTTAACTGGACATAATTAACCCACTTAATTAAATTTCTTTTCCATCTATTGATGGGTTATATTTAAATTTAAGATTTTTAATGTAAAATTTAATATCGTTAATTAGTTTTATCATCCTTTTAAGGTCTCAATTAAATTATTTATCAATTAGGTAAGTAATATATTAAGAATTTAAAATGATATCAATTACTCACACATGACTTGAGTTCTACATAAAATGTCATTGGCAATTAATTTCACACCTTAAAATATAGTAAATTTTGTTATATAATCTCATCAGTATCTTTTTTTTTTTTCCTTTTTTTGTATTGTAAATAGACGTCAATTTAGCTCTTCCTCGTTAGTAGCTGCACCCTTGGCCCTGGGGCAGTTTTAAAATTTATCAAATATCATTTCGGATTTTCGGAGTTTGATACCAGACCTAACCTTAATTTTAAAAAGTAAATGTCTAATTTAATTGTCTTAATTTTGATTTTTATATAAAATTTAAAATTAAATTTTATATAGTAAATAAATGTTAATTAAAATTTTTTATATAATTTTATTAAATATTTTTACTTAAATTGATTTTTTTAATTATTATTTACTTATTATATAAAATTATCAAAGTAAATTTATATTTTTTTGAATAAATTAAAATTATTTACGGATTAATTAAAAGAAAAGGAAAAGATTCCGTGTACTTTAAACACTACTTAAAAAGGTTTAAGGATAAACGTCTCTGATCCAAGATTCATGTCATTGGCATTTCGTTGTTGTTGTAGTGCATTCGGGTCATTGCAATTTAACTGGACTATCAATGGATTGTACCTTAATTAGTGGTCAAATTTTACCACGAGTAGATATTAATTTAATTTTTAATTTTTAATTATATTTTTTAGTCAAAAAAATAAATAAATAAATTCAAATTATTGTATCGAAGCGAGCTGCAACAAAAGTAAATTTATATTAAGTGAACAAGATTAGAAAAAAAAAAAGAAAAAAAAAAAAA